TTGATGTGTTTTGCAGGTGTTTGTTTGGATTGGTAATGAAGCTCACGATGAGGAGAAGACTGAGGCGATTACTTCAGGTAAGACTCCTTAAAATGCTTTAAACTTAGAATCATAATTTCACTGCATAAAGTATAAAAAATAAATGGCATATTTTACCATACTGCTTCTACTACACTAGTATGTATAGTGTGCTCAGTATGCAAATATTCGTTTTTTTGTGTAGAATACTCAAATGACATACTACGTTCCTCATGTGACGTATACAACAGAAAATTGCAGGAAATACTGTATCCCACAATGCAACTCTTGTTTATCCAAGTGATTTTCAATATTTAATTTTGATAAAAACTGACAATATTTATAATGGATGAATTCATTCATTCAAAATTATTCTAATATGCTGTTTTGGTGCTCAATGAACTTTTAATATTATCAGCTGAAAACAGTTTAACTGTTTAATATTTTTCTGTGAAAAAATGCACTTCATAATGCTTTGTTGAATAGGAAATTAAAAAGAACAGCATTTATTTGAAATGGAACATTATAGATGTCTTTACTGTCTCTTGTATTCAGCAAAGACATATTCAATTTATCAAAATTATTTCTTTTATTGACTCAAACTTTTGAATACTGTATGACAGATTTATTCAGTTAATATTGTCTGTGGTCGATGTTACTGTCCAGTAGGTGGCGATAATGTGTATAAGATAGAAAGGAAGATAGAAACATGAGCTTATTTTGAAATCCCAAAACACTTTATAATGTGTCCTTTTATGAATCCCATATTAAACTTGTTGTCTTTCTCCAGCTGCCCGATACATCGAGACGGACCCAGCCAACCGTGACCCGCGCACACCCATCGTGAAGATTAAACAGGGCTTCGAGCCACCCACTTTCACAGGCTGGTTCCTGGGCTGGGACCATGACTACTGGAGCACTGACCCCCTGGAGCGGGCCATGGCGGAGCTGGAGATCTAAACTTTGAGCTGTCACCCCTGACCTTTAAACCCCTCTGCCTTACTGCAAGTTGATCAAAGTTGCCCTTAGATACAGATAAGATGCCAATTTGATGCTTATCAGGGTTTAATCATGGATTCAAAAAACCGAAGCTGGTCCTGAGTCAGTATCAAAAGGCAATTTTTAAAAAGAGCACTTTACTGCCCTGAGCTTCAGTCACCAAAGATAAGGCAACTCCATTAATACTTCACCTCATTACTTCTGTATTTAAGTGTTTTCTTCCTGTGCTCAGCGATGTTTTAAATACTTTTAAAGCTTTTAGATAGTTATGTTTGGTCTGCACACCTTATGATACTGAAGTGCATGAGCTTGTATAAGAAAATATACAGGGATATCATCGTCAAAATCTGTTAGACATCTTTTTGCCTTCTTTTTTTATAAACCTTTTTTTATGTGACCAGTATTAAGAGTTTTACTAGCAATACTACTTGTGTTTTGAATTTATATTTTTAAGATAAGCAGTGTTTATGATGCCACCAAAATACTGACCTAATGGTAGCCTAGATATGAGGCGTTTCCACCTTGTCGCTCTTCCATCTAAAACTCATTGCTTGGCTGTGTTCAGAATAGCATACTAGCATACTATTCTGTAAGTGTATTATAGTGTGTGTACAGTATGCACATTTGTATATGCATGAAATAACCTTGTACCTTACTACATTTGCCAAAGTAGTACATTTGTGCAGTATACGACAAAGCATGCTGTGTTAAACATTATATCCCACAATGTTCTACAATTGATGCTAACTAAAACTAAATTGCTGTAACTGAAACAATTCAAAATAAAGCTCAAATAAAATCAAAATAAATATTGGATAAAGAACTTGAACTTTTTTAAATGTTAAAAAATTTGAAATGTTGCTTTGGCAACTAACTGAAAAAAGGGGGAAATTACTCAAAATAAAATTGAAATAAAAATATAAAAATGAACAATCAAAAAATAAAATGACAAAATCACATAGCAAAATTACTAAAATTAGCTAAAATGAAAACTGAAAATATAAAAGATCATTCTAGATATTAATAAAAACTATAGTAGTATATAAAAAATACTAACACACTTGAGCATTCCGGAGGGTAATATCAGTTATATCATTTTATTTTATTAAATTTTTTAAATGACTGATTGCTTTATCAGTTAACACAAAACTGGCTTAAAAAGTCAAAGCATAATACATTTAAAATGTTTCATTTTAATTTACCATCCTTTGCTGTTTAAATGTGTATTGTGACAACAAAGTAACATACTATTGTTTCAAACGCTTACTGTGAAGTAATACCTTTTTCACCTGCTATTTTTAATTAGGCAGAATGCAGTACATACTGAGCAGTATTCAGTAAGTAGTAAACTAGTATTCATTCCAAACACAGCCTTGGTCCATCTGAGCAATGACATCCCTCTACAGGCAGAGGGCGCTGCGAAACTTTTTCAGAGAAACGAATACTGCTTTTTTTTTATCTAAAGTCTATAAAAGGCCATTCCCATGGTTTTAGATGTTAAAATAGCCATTTCATGGAATGGCATAACCAGAATGCTGGAGTTTTAAAGGAGCATGTCTTGTAAGAGGCCTAGAGATCCAACTTATTCCTACATACGCGATCATGAGACTGAATGGATAAAGGTCTGCTGTTCATTTCTAGGGGCTGATTTAGATAATTAACATATGGGTAGGTTAACTGCCTGAAGATCAGATAAAATGGTATACCTCATAGTGCAGAGATTGGCTGCCTTTGATATTTGCTAAAGACTCTTATAGCAACTTATTCCAGATACTCCTGCTTTCGCAAATCCTATTCTCTACCAGAGAGAGAAATAAAATGATTTCCCAGTTTTACTACTTCATTCAATAAATACAATAAAGAACCACAACCCCAAAATGTTTCCAGAGTGTTCTTCAAAGACTGATTTATGCATCATATTAATAGCAGTCTGGGAAAATAACAAGGTAAATAAAGAGTTTATGTACTTACAAGTCATGAGAAAGATTACACATTATGATTTACTGAAGGGAATGGGAAAATCACACATCGGAAATATGCAAACAAAAACATTCTATATTACAATGTACATAAAAGTGAACTGGACAAAACAACAGATGTGATATTCAGCATACATCAGTTAAATGACAGAATAAACAATTACATATATAATTGTGATAGACTGATACATGGTGAAATACAAATATTTCAAAATATCGTTGAAACCTTAAACAGTCCTAAGCAGCAATGACACTAATTTCACATCTTTGACAAGTCTTCGTAATTCCATCCTCTGGTATTTGAAGCAGCAAATACAGTCATTAAAAGCACAAACATTGACCTCTATAGGCTTAATTTGTTTTCAGCTGCAGTCTGATGTAAAAAAAATATATTACATGTATGTAAATGTCTGGTAGATAAAACAGTAAGATAGAAGATTTCATAAACCAAGCGATAAAATATTAATGTGACAGGAAATGGATGTATAAATGCATAGTGGTTTTAAAAATCAACCAACATCACGTAAACCTGTACATATTAATTCGGTAATTGAAATGGATATGGCTTAAGGCTTTTATATTGACGGTCAGCATTAATAAAGGTTCAGGAAAGTGAGGAAAATTGGTAGGCACAATAAGCACTGCTGTCAGTTTCATGTTTTGACACCTGATACTATCCACATATTCCTTAGACGGTGTATTATCTGTTTAGCAATCAAGCAGGTTAGGTTACATATGCCTGAAACACACACATATGCACTCATGTGACCAGGAGATGTTCCATAAACTGTCAACCAAACAGCCAAACATCACATTGCAATATTCAGTAACTAAAAGATCAACCAGTTCTGGTCTGTATCTTTTTGTTACAACCAGAGAAATTGTACACAATTTCATTTTGTAAGGTCTATTCACTTCATTGCATTAAAAAAGGTTTAAAACAAAACAATGTGATTTTTTTTTAAATTTATTTAAATGGCCTCTTATTTAGCAAATATTTTATGACTTTCATATTGTTTGGCTGTATCAAATTTCCTTCAGACAGTGTAAAACAGGTCTTTACTAGGAACATGCAACCAAACAGCCAAACATCACATTGCAATATTCAGTAACTAAAAGATCAACCAGTTCTGGTCTGTATCTTTTTGTTACAACCAGAGAAATTGTACACAATTTCATTTTGTAAGGTCTATTCACTTCATTGCATTAAAAAAGGTTTAAAACAAAACAATGTGATTTTTTTTTTAAATTTATTTAAATGGCCTCTTATTTAGCAAATATTTTATGACTTTCATATTGTTTGGCTGTATCAAATTTCCTTCAGACAGTGTAAAACAGGTCTTTACTAGGAACATCTACAGATCACGCATCAGGCTGTGCTTATGTGGTATATGTACAGTAGGGTCCAAATATGAGACCACTAGTGAACATTTTTCTATTTTGCATTTTTCTAATATAGTACATTATCAGAATAACAATTTGAGTGGTTCAAATTTAAATACGTGCATGGGCTTTAGAATGCATATTTCAAAAACAGCAGCACTCAAGCTGCATGACCTCCACAAATTTGTGTAAAACTTGATGAACATCTTCTCCAGAATTATTTGAGATGATCCCAAGAGCATTTTGAACATCTGACTATCTGTACAGAGTCAAATGATTACCAATTTGATGAACAATTTTCACTTATTTGATTAGTGACTTACAACTCAAATACAACCTCACATATTTCTTCTTCACTTGAAGTAATGATGTTTCTTAGTTTTAAGTTTTCAAAAATTGAATACCAGAATTCAATGTGGTCTCAGACTTCTGGACACGGTTGTACATTATACTCACATGAGTGCATGTTATATAACATCAGTCTGTTCATTTCTGCATGGATGCATCTGTATGTGTGTGTGTGTGTGTGTGTGTGTGTGTAGGTAGCTTTATGTGGCTCTTAGTTCAGTGCTTCACAAAGGACTGCATCATGTCAATAGGCAGAGGGAAAATGTCACATGAGTGCATGTTATATAACATCAGTCTGTTCATTTCTGCATGGATGCATCTGTATGTGTGTGTGTGTGTGTGTAGGTAGCTTTATGTGGCTCTTAGTTCAGTGCTTCACAAAGGACTGCATCATGTCAATAGGCAGAGGGAAAATTATGGTGGAGTTCTTCTCCGCTGCGATGGTGTTGAGGGTCTGGAGGTAGCGCAGCTGCAAACCAGAGGGGGACTCTGCGATCACCAGAGATGCCTCCTTCAGTGCCCGTGACGCATTCATTTCTCCCTCAGCGGCTATCACCTACAAACAGCAGAGGGGCGGTGTGAAAAAAAAACATGCATGTCTTGATTTAGCAAACCTTGTATACCACACAACTTCCACCCCTTAACCCAGTTTCAATTTGACGCCCACTCTTTGCCCTACAGTCATACTTCGAGTTATCTCATCGTTCCTTTGAAGCAATATTACACCTAAATATGATCACCCTCAGGCCATCCATGACGTAGATGTGTTTGTTTCTTCATTGGAACAGATTTGGAGAAATTTTGCCTTAGATTACTTGCTCACCAATAGATGCTCTGCAGTGAATGGGTGCCGTCAGAATGAGAGTTTAAAGAGCTGATAAAAACATCACAATGATCCACACAACTCCAGTCCATCAATTAATTCCTCTATCCATAAAAATGCTTTCTCCAGTGAAAAGTCATCTTGTCTGAATCAGGAGTGAAATGTGCACAGATCAAGCACTGTTTACAAGTAAACCAGCCTAAACCAGTTCTAAACAAACATGTTGGTGGATTTTGATGTGAGAGAAAAACAGAAAATTGACTTTTCCTCTGGAGGAAGCATTATTACGGATTATGGACTGGTATTTTTACACTTTAAAGTTCAAATGCCTTAATGATGGATTTGTTTCTTACAAACACGCACTGAAGGCGTGTGGATTGCTTGTGGATTATTGTGATGTTTTTATCAGCTGTTTGGACTCTCATACTGACGGCACCCATTCACTGCAAACAGTCAGTTAGTGATATAATGTCTACATTTCTCCAAACAAACTCATCTACATCTTGGATGGCCTGAGGATGAGTACATTATCAGCAAATTGCCATTTTTGGGTGAACTATTCCTTTAAGCAACTCGCCTGGTTTTGCTTTATGACCGAGAGTATACATTCCCGAGAGTCAGAACAAACCATATTTAAACCAAAGTTTTACTGTAAGTGAACTTGTATTTTAAGGGATAGTTCACACAAAAATGAAAATTCTGTCAAAATAATTTTCTCACCCTCAAGTTATTTTCTCACCCTGATTATTTTTCCATTCTATGGAAGTCAATGGCTACTGTCAACTGTTTGATCACCCTCATACTGACGGCACCCATTCACTGCAAACAGTCAGTTAGTGATATAATGTCTACATTTCTCCAAACAAACTCATCTACATCTTGGATGGCCTGAGGATGAGTACATTATCAGCAAATTGCCATTTTTGGGTGAACTATTCCTTTAAGCAACTCGCCTGGTTTTGCTTTATGACCGAGAGTATACATTCCCGAGAGTCAGAACAAACCATATTTAAACCAAAGTTTTACTGCAAGTGAACTTGTATTTTAAGGGATAGTTCACACAAAAATGAAAATTCTGTCAAAATAACTTCTGTCAAGTTATTTTCTCACCCTGATTATTTTTCCATTCTATGGAAGTCAATGGCTACTGTCAACTGTTTGATCACAGTAAATTCTTCTTTTGTGCTCAACAGAAGAAACAAACTCATACAGGTTTGGAATAACTTGAGGTCAGTTTGGGTCAGGTTTCTTTCTGTCTTGTATAGTTTTTTTTCATGGTTTTTGGACACATTAGTGGGAAATACTCCCAGAAACAGGAAAGGAGTTGTCACTTCCGTCTTCCTATGAGAGTATTGCGGTGGTCTTGCCTCAGAGCAATTAATGTTTGCATTCAGCTCCCACACACACAATGATTTGGTCTACAATATATACATGCATGTACATGAGAGGATGATTAATATGTGTTTGCAAGCAAAATCTTGTTATATCCTTCCACATAATGAATATTATAATATTAAATAGTACACCAGAATCTTAGTGTTGTGCACTATACATAAGTCTTTAATGCTATAAAAAATATAATAAAACTATGTGAAATATGTTTCCATGTGAAATGAGTAACAGCAGCCCTTACTAAATATCAAAATCATGTTACCTTAGCTCTGGCCTCTCTGGTTGCTTCAGCCTCTGCCGCCATGGCCCTCTGGAGCTGCAGGGGCAGTTTGACATCCTTAATCTCCACACGCTCTACTTTAATACCCCAGTCATCTGTGGCATCATCTAGTGTGGACTAAAGAAAACAACAAAGAGTCAAGTCTAAACACTTCTTCTCAGAGATTCCTCATGGCTCATGCTCCTCATGTTTGAAGCACTGTGCCAAGTGTGCCTGTCATGAAGAATGTTCCCCAGTTTTTTAATGAGCGAATGGCAGGCCATGTGCGAACTGAGGAAGGCACTAGCAGTGCAGTCGAGCTGGATCAGCGTCTCGGCTGAGCTGAGCTACGGTGAATGCACTGCCTGAAGATATACAATGTCTGCTTGAATCAGGTCTAGCCCAAACCAATTCAGTAAGAGAATAAGCTCAAATTTTTATTTTTGGGTGATCTATTCCTTTAAAAGTATAACTCTTGTTTTGTATGTGTAGTTCATGTGTTACCTGCATACTGTGGGCGATTTCCTCCCGGTCAGACAGGATCTCTGCCAGGTTCTTTGTACCCAACACGTTCCTCAGGGTGGTCTGTGCCAACAGACGAGTGGCTGCATCAGCATTGGTGATGTTGGCTACTGCCAGTGTTGCGTTTTGCACACGGTAGTAGACTACACCATCTACACTCACTGTCACAGAGTCCTTTGTCAGCACCTATCAGGATGAATGCACAAAGACTATTTAATGGAAAACATAATCTGGGTGATATTCTGCAAAAACAAAAAAACAAGGAAACCAAACACAAACATACACTACCGGTAAAATGTTCAAATATTAAGAATTTTTCATGATTGTTTACTTTTTTTTTAAAATGTTTTCTCAGTAATATTGTGAAATATTATTACAATTTAAAATAACTTATCTATTCAAACATATTTTTAAATGTAATTTATTCCTGTGATGGCAAAGCTGAGTTTTCAGCAGTCTTGAGTGTCACATGATCCTTCAGAAATCATTCTAATATGCTGATTTGCTGCTAAAGATACATTTCTTATAATTATCAATGTTGAAAACAGATGTGTTGCTTAAAGGGGTCATATGATGCTGCTAAAAAGAACATTATTTTGTGTATTTGGTGTAATGAAATGTGTTTATGCGGTTTAAAGTAAAAAAAACACATTATTTTCCACATACTGTACATTATTGTTTCTCCTCTATGCCCCGCCTTCCTGAAACGCTTCGATTTTTACAAAGCTCATCGGTCTGAAAAAGCGAGGTGTGCTGTGATTGGCCAGCTATCCAGTGCGTTGTGATTGGCCGAATACCTCAAGCGTGTGACGGAAATGTTACGCCCCTCACCATACTGTTGATGCCGTGTCCCGGCCGGAGCAACGAGACAAAAACATTAAAACCCATTATAAACGAGGCATTTGTTGCATCCAGTGGGGACATAATTACTGATTATAATGACTTACACTGTCTTTTTACCGCGTTGCATTGCATCGCGCCGCGTAAACATAAAACTCTGTCTGCATTTGTGATCAGA